AGCATGTTTACGTGGATAGCGCGCACACAGCGAACGAATTGCTTCAATCACCACAACCTGCAAAAAATCGCCATCTCTTAGGGCACCGAAATCGAAACCAGATGGACCGCTCTTTTTGCCTACACCAAACCAGAGCTATTTGGACCTTGAATTCATCGCTTATCTCGTTCACAAAAGTGCTTATTTGCTTCATCAGTCGCTCCACCGATGATTCGGCACCAGTTTTCAGCAGCGTTGTGATCGCAAGTGTTGCTATTGAGCGATTCTGGTCTGTGATCAGTTGCTCCAAGTCAACGTTGCACGATGTTATCGCCTGCGGATGTTTCATCGACACCTAAAAAATGCAAAAAATTACTCATTTTAGGTAAAATCTGTAGAAAACAGCTTCATAAAATATCAGGAATACCAAGACCGCTAGGCTATCAGTGTGGGAATTCCATGTTAGTGATGGTACGGGGTTATTTCCACATGTCAAACGAAGCTACGCCAGGCCTCAATCCTGGGTTACGCTACACATTTGCGTTGATATTTCATCTAATTGTTTTTTTATCGTAAAAATCTCGATATCTATGCATTTAGCAAGTTTTGCATATGTTTTAACTGGAGTTGCAGCATCTGGAGATCAATCTCTGCTGCTGAACATGACAACTGCTTCCCTGTTTTCTTTGCTCTTTCGTTGTACCAAGCAAATCACACTTTAATGTTTCTCGATATTTTTGGTCATCCCCATATTTGCTGTTGAAGGATTTAAGAGTACCAGTTGAACAATTTGCCATACCTCTCCTACCCTTTCGTTTAATTTTTCCCCATACTTTATATGGACCTGCAGGACTGGACTTCAAGCTTATTTATGCGACAAAACCATATCGATCCCTGTTTTCCCTTCCATTTTTCAAACTTCCAGTCTACTTTTCCTCAGAGATTTTTATTTTCAAAAAGTGGTAAAAGCAGCGAGATGCGCATCCATCGAAAGATTTCTGACTATGAAGGGCTTTGGTTGTACATAACTTTGGCATCGCATTATGTGTAATAAATTTGCATGTAATCTGTATTTGTAAATTGTAATTATGACATAATTTGTATGTAATAAAACTGATACTTCGCATCAAATCGTTAGTAGCTCGATACCCAAAAACTTTCACCATGGGAACTAGAAGCATCCATACGAACCTTGTTGAGAGTTCGAACAGCCGCAAAACGTAATGATGGTTTTGGTGAGGAACAGAAGAGCTGTAGTACGGATATAGCTGGCGACAATTCCGATGATGTGATATTCGGAAGACGAACAATCGCAGAGGCAGCTTCGTAGATAACCATTTCACATTTGTGACGAAGACACGACTCGATGAACTGGAACAGCGGACTTTCGGCTCTGGAAAAAAACGCTGTTTATCATGAAAATCCAACTCACAGGCTTTTCAATAGTACAAGCGATTTTGAGATGCAGAGAACCAATATAACGATTCTTACGGGGAACCTGTGTGAGTGCGGTGATTTCCAAAGCGAAAAGAATAGAAAAATTGCCAACTGCGTAAAGCACGACAATGAAAAAGCTTGTAAGGTGTCAGTACAGTACGTTTTTCACTTGTAATTTTGATTCTAACAACTAAATAATCCACATTTTTCAAGGTATAAGCAATATGAGCAAGGGAAACATCAAAAAACCACCAAAAGACTAAAAAATAAAATCACTATCATGGTGATTCAACAAGAAAGATGAATCTGTTCAGCAGCAAAACTGAAAAGAATCACCCAGCCTCGTCCTCCTCGATAAGTTTGGCGGCTAGACGTATGAGATAGCAGGTGGCGAAAGGCGATCGCAGTGATGATTTGCTCCATTTCTGAACCAATTTATTAACCGCCAAACGGTCGCCACTACGAATATGGTAGAGCAGGCCAAGCGCATGGAATTGCACCATATTGCTGAAAGCATAACTTATCATAAAACACACATGTTTCCTCAACAGCAACCGTCTGCGGGATCATCAAAAACTCCTACTCAAAAACACTGCTTGGCTGTAAATTAACGGGAGGTTTTGCTTCCATGACAGTACTAAATCATCGGCGAAGCGAATCGATGACGAACAGTAGGGAAGCTGGCTTTGTGAAAAATTTTCCCAATTAAAATATTTCATTTTTATCTCGGGTCGAAGTTAAGCGACCATTGCGGCGGCCTCGACCACGTGGCGTACATACACCGAACAGACGCTGGGTACTAACTCAAGATCTCAAGATCGAAAAGCCTGGCATAGCTATGTCCGGCATGCAGGTGCATCACAGTAAATATCAATAACTACACCGTTTTTTTGGATTGCTCTATTGTTTCTGGTACTGGTGTAATTGTTCCTTTTCCGTAGGTGTATCAGTGTGAATGGAAGCTAGTATTTGCACGCTAAAAGCTCACTTTTTTATACCATTTCACTCCGTTCCTCAGATTATGGTAAACGTTGGCTTAGGCTCCAAGTAATAGGTGTCCAATCCTTCTTCGCTCAATTTTTCAGAGAAGTGCCGAAGAA